ACGGTTACACGCCTTTATCTAATCACAGAAGATGGCCCGTGTCATCCACGATTGTCTGTTCGCCACGTAGTTTACTGGCAAGATTCGGCAGCCTTTGAGGCATCGAGGCCTCAAGCTCTTGCGGATGACAAGTGGGCAGTGTTTATCAGAACCATCCATGTTACTGCAGAGAAGCAGTCTCACGTTTCTTGCTGCGTTTCCCTCCACCGAATGCATGGCCCTTTATATGCAGAGTCTTTTTCGGAAGCAGTTCATAAAAATGTCTTGTCTCGTCCGCATTATAAATGTCGGACGAGACAGTAGTCTTTAGTATGTCCAGAAAAGCAGACGATGCCCAAGTCACTGCACCATTGGCGTCTGTTGCCGCAGACTCCCCGCACAACACTTTTCCTACCATGTCATGCTGGGCTTTGAAACATGTCAGCCAACCTGTGCTCGCAACAATGTCCTCAATGCCTAGAATACAAACAAAATTCAGTGCTTTTCTGTAATACACATCAGCTGATAGGCGTATCTTCTTGGCACGCATGTCAAGAAACCGAGTGTACAGTGCCTGTTGGAGATACCCGTGTGCCGAAGATGTCTACTTCTTGCGCTTTGTGGATGCCCCTGCCGAAATAGCACTAGTGATCACGTCCTTCGCCTTCAAAATTGTGGATGTGGACAGCAGGCTGTTGGAGATGCCGAATTGTGCAGCAATGTCTCCTTTTTTTCTGCCGGTTGAAGCTTCGCTGATGATTCGCGCCTTTACCTCGAGAGTAAGAAACTTGCGCTTTGCTGCCATGATGGCGCAGAGTTCTACATACGTGAGCACACAAGCACGAATTAAGCGCAATGATCGGCTTGGCAGCTTAAGTAACAGATGATCACATGACCTGGCATGGATACGTGTTGGCTGTGGCTCTGCCTTGCCAAAGCAGGACAGCGCCGCGTCGCAAGGCAACCAGCCGCATCGTAATCACCACCAATCAATGGCGCTCTCCATAACTTTGTTTACAGGCGGTGCAGCGTGCATTGGCCGCACATTTTCGGTGAAACAAAGTGTCATCAATGTTTGAAAAGTTGCACAGTTGGCGACGTGCTGACTTAACCATCGAACAAATTTTCAATCCAAGCGCCGCTGAGCGAAAGTATCGTTGAAGCGAACACAAGCCCGAAAAATTTTTCGTTGTAGCAAGAGCTCTGATGCATTGACTTCTATGGCAAGCCGACGGGGAATAAGAAATACTTCGTTGAGGCGGAAATTTTGTTAAAGCGGCGTTCGTTGCAGCGCCATTCGACTGCACCGCTAATAGTCAAAATTTCATTGTGAATCAAATACTAAACACTATTTGAAGAAATATTCGGAAGTTCGACTATTCACGCACACCTAAAAATTGCCCTTGAATGTGCTCCTAAGAAATGTGAAAAAATATACGATGAATTGTCGTTTTGTTTGATTTGCTGGCACCGATCTGAACTGGTTCATACTGGTGCATGGCAGACCAAACTAATAGTTAAAATAGTAATTTAGTTGAATAATTTTGAACCGGGTAGATAGAATAGCACATACCATATATTATAAAGAAAATTAGGCTATCTTCTCAAGGCCAAGGTAACATGCACAATATTTCAAGAATTGAAACAAGGTGTGTGCGAATGCCACCTTATTGGTTCGAAGCTGAGTGGAAGTAACATTGAAAAGTAGGAAAACTTCAGCAGAAGTAGGATGAAAATTATAAGAGCCAAATACATTACTTTAAAACTTGCTATGCTGATCACACATAAGTCTGCATAACAAGCTGTGTGAAATAATTGATCGAGGTGAAGGCAATTTGTAGATTAAATGGGTACCGACACAAAATCTCATGGCAGAGATGGCCTACGAAATCTATATTCCCGTGAGAATGTGTATATCATCTGCAAAATATCAAGAGCAACTGGATCTTGAAGGGCATTTTAAATTAATTTTGAATTTCGCATAAGCGATCGATTCCCTCATACAGTTGACAACCTCAAAGGTGACACTTGGCGACCCCCCCACTTCCTTGATGCGACCACACTTCAACAAGTTATGACAACATAATAGCTTCGATTTCTCTTTTATCACATTTCTACCAGCAGACTATTCCTCGGCAGCTGCTCGTGAGTTCATGGCCACGGCGCACGCATTGACAGTTTTGCGTTTGGAGACACTGCTGTCTCGTTTACTCTTGGAGAGCACTTCTAGACGCGGACTGCGGGAAATGCGTCCCAGTTCTGTGTGCTGAAGCAGTTGAACGTTGCATACGCGAAGTGGTGACAGTTTCACTCGGCAGCTTGTTGTTTTGGAGCACTCTCATGCCGAAACGAAGACTGGTAGGTAACAGAGAGCCTGTAATTACCGTTTTATGCTACAGCAAACGATGCACTGCGTTACAACTAGCAGGCCTCCGGCAACAGACTGCAGCACAAAAACATGAGGCCAAAATTTTTCTCTCGGTACCCCTTTAAACCTGCACGTGTGAGTACGCGGCAAGCGAATTTCCTCCGGATAAGAGGTTTCAAGGCATAGCAGTTCCATGACATAAGAAACGACCTTGACAAAGGTGCTATATGCACTCAAATAACAAGCATCTGTTGGTCCACTAAGAATAATTAAACATTTCAAATTTAGGTTTATGTTTCAGTGAACTTGAATACACAATAATCGTTTGAATATTCAAAGCATTTAATTATTCGCCTATGCCTAAACGAATTTCCTCTGGAGCAGTTTGGCACATTAGGCGGAGGCCTCAGCTCAATGGCCACAGTAGTGCCATGGATCCTCATTACACATACAGCGGCGTAAAGAAATACTCTGGTTCAGGGCCGCCACTTTTCTTTCAATGAGGGAACGCCTCCACAGTAGTGCCATGAATCCTCATTGCACATACAGCGGCGTAAAGGAATACTCTGGCTCAGGGCCGCCACTTTTCTTTCAATGAGGGAACGCCTCCACAGTAGTGCCATGGATCGTCATTGCACATACAGCGGCGTAAAGGAATACTCTGGTTCAGGGCCGCCACTTTTCTTTCAATGAGGGAATTGTCTCCTCTATTTTAGCAACGCCAGCCAGATGCGCCCGATCCAGCCATTTACCACCCCCTCCACTAGCCCTTTTCCGCTCTCGCCTATCACCTAGCCTTATCGTGTGCTTTGCGGTCATGTGGGAGAGAACCGCTCACAAACCTCACCACAGTAACCATACAAAGTCATTTTTTGTTCAGTTGTTTACAGATCCGTGGGGCAGCGTCTTCCATTCCTCGTGCACGCAATACTGGTGGTCACACTAGCTCTGTAAAAAAAAGGTGTTTTGAGATAGTGTGTTGCCTTTCGTGACGCTATGCGGGCAACCATTAAGGAAGCGCCACTGCAACGCTACTGCATGCGCTGCGCTGTGATGCGGAGGCGGCATTGCTTCGAGCCGCCAAAAGGAGCCCGAAGGAACAAGTCTGACAAATGTACGATATTGGAGTGGGAAACACATCTATTGCATCTCCAGGGCAAAGCACTCAGAAGCACATGTGATGCAAACAGTGCTACCCATCATGTAGCGTTACATCATAACCACTGCTTGAGGCAGCTCACGCTGAGAAGTGCCCATTTTCACCGGCACTGAAAGAAATAAAGGAGGCGTAGGTTGAGGCATGCCTTCGACTAGAGTTACCCCATTTGTGCCTATCATAGCTGCTCTTAAGGTTCTTGCCCAGGGTGCTTCTGAGACTTGCGCTACAAGAAAGCCTGAACTTTAGAAAATGTGCATGGCAAGGAACCTCTTTGGTGGCACTAATCACCGACGACCTCTACTAGTGGACTCACTAGAGTGGAGGCATACTATCACAGGGTGACGCCAGTGAAGAAGGTCGCGATCTTGCTGGTGGAGATGAAGCTCTATAGCGGGCAAACATGTGCCCGGATAACTAAGTCTTGACTGACTTGTGGGATTTACAATCCTAAACCCACCGTATGATTATAAGAGACGCCGTAGTGGAAGGCTACAGAAATTTCAACCACATAGGGCCCTTTAACGTGCACCCGAATCTGAGCACACAGGCGTACAGAATTTTAGCTTCCATTGAGAATGCAGCCGCCGCAGCTGGGATTCAATCCCACGACCTGCGGGTCAGCAGCCAAGTACCTTAGCCAATAGACCACCTGCGGCAAAGTCGACTAACCCCTGTATTCAGAAACGCTGCTTGACTTGAACTTTGCCACCGACTTCAATGCAGCACAAATGCGTTTCAAATGCACTGTCTTTAGGCGGTGCCAAGGCAGCGAAACGCATAGACGCATTTCAAATGCACAGCGTTGAAGGCGGTTTCAAGTCAAGTTCAAGTCGAGAAGTGTTTTCTGAATACGGAGTAAGTCTCCTTATGTACAAACTATTCCCTCCACATAGCGATTATAGTGGCGATCAAAGTCAACAACCGTTGACAATCTGATCATTGGCAGAACGCATCACCCATTATATATAAGTGGTCAAACCTTCCAATGTTATCACTGATGCTGACGTAATGTCCCACATAAACTTGGCTATTCACGCACTGAGCATAGTCTTTCAACAGAACGCTTCTCATAATAATACATATATATTCACAATAATTTTGTGAGCTTATACATCTTAAAATTATAACATAATTATGAGAGATGACTTCCAATAAAGTTCTTACAGACCAACCAATGGCACAGCTAAGAGCACCGAAAGTTTCGACCCCCCTGGAATTTTTCTATGTGCACCTAAATCTAAGCATACATGTCTCTAGCAATAGGAATCTAGCGAAATGCAGCTACCATGGGCGGGAATCGATTCCGTGACCTTTGAGAAAGTCCTACACCACTGTGGTGGCGGATACTCAAACAATCTCAAAGCGTCCCAAACAATGCAGGGCGGCGTGCGGTGCTAACAGCTTTTCGGAGTGAAACACAAAGACATCCAGTAAAGAAGTAAGTGCACGTGGAAATTTCACCCTCACGAGTACACACAGCCCCCCAGCACCTACCAGCATGCGGTTTTCCTCGGCGCTCCAATGCAAAGGTGGGGTGAGGTACGGGTCCATCTCCTTGTTGGCTCGCTTGATCTTCTCATCTTCGTTCATGGGCGCCCGCATTCCATTGATGTCCCTGAAGTATGGGTGGTGGAACACCAGCGAGTGGTACCAGTTTTTGCGCACCTTCGGCTTTGCGGGTCGTGCAGATCGCTCGGAGAGCTTTGCCAAAAGTTCCATCCTCAGCTGCCTGGATTGGCCACACCAGGGAGAGCGTGAATGCAAATGAGAACACTAGTGCTTGGCACTGGCGTACGCACGAGCACTCTTCGAAAATCCCTATAAGATGTTTTCGAGCAAACTGAAGAAACTAGCTTAGACAACGATGTTATCAAGAACACCTCTGCAAAGCTGCCTACCTAGAGCTAGCCCCTGCTACTACAAATACTACCCCTACTACAATCAGGAACACCACTGTGAAACCGATACTTGCTACTTACAAAGAAGGGAGTGACGTTTTATTTTATTGGAGCATAATTTGGAGACGAAAAAGTACTGTTTTGGAGCAGCCGTAAGTGTTTTAGGGGCGAAAAATTTGTTGCGTGAAGCAGTTATTGGCGTTTTAGGATCAGCTACAAAATTTGTCATACGCCAATTGGCGTTCAAAGCATCTCGTAAAAATTATTTATTATGAAATATATTTCACAGACAACAAACGTAAATTTCAAGAAGCAAACATTTAAAAGTGACTGGTTGTCAAAACAAATGAGCAGCAAAATGAGCTATATATTTAAGCTACCAGTACTTGTAGCAGAAATCAAAATCCGGCAAAGCTGAGCACCACATTTCAGAACTAACCACAGTCACACATGACTGTTGCCAAATGAGCAGATAGATAATTGGTACGAGATAAAAGCAATTCTGCTCATTTTCACATTTCACCACACTGGCCCACACGTCAAGCTAAGACAAAAAAAGCAATAAATTGACTCATATGGTTAACATGCCAGTTTTTGTCACATAAACGTGATCAGAGCCGATAATGCTGCACACTAATAGAATACTGGGATGATAGTGTACACATTCCTTTCAGTTTCTTTAGGACTTAGGAGGTGGTCAAACAGTAAAGGTTCATCATTCTTCATATCTCATTGCCATTTCAGAGCAGGTTTGGAGCAATTACTAACAAAAACCACTGTTTGGAGCAGCATTTCGCGTTTGGAGCAATTTGGAGCAATTTGGAGCAACACTTCCATCTCTTTAACTTACTACATACCTAATACAGCCCCTACAACTACTTTTTGCTCTTCTGTCTTGTCAACCAATGCTGAATTTACAGCAACACCAGCTCTGTCAAGCTACAATGATTAACCCTTTTTCTTCTAACTCCTTTTCCCACTCTAGCTAGTTTCCAAATCCGTACCTGTTCTCTTCTAGCCTTTCTGCCAACTCACATATGGCGTTGTCGAGCAACGCTTGGTAGGCACGGTTGAGTGACAGGAGGCTTCGGAGGTCAGTTGGCATCTCTGCAAGGCTCGACCCTGGGAAAACCAAGAAGTGATGCCAACGATGAGCACAACACAAAATTACTTGGACGAATGGCACTGCCTTTCAAGGTTATTATAGTCAGGTACAGCTCTACAAAGCAGACACATTGCCTCCTCAACCGATGAATTCCAATGCTAGACCGCATAGTGCACAGTCCAAGTGGACGGCTTACAAGGCAGCATCGCCAGAGGAATGGAATGTGTCTGTGTGACATTTGCGAGACATGACGCGACGTCGAGTTGACAAGAGAAAGCTAAGAATATTCGGTGAAATACGTGTGCTATTGACCTCTTTGAGCTCAAATGTAAGAACTTCAATGTGCCTCTGATGTAGCGTGCAACAAATGCTGGTTGATGTTTTCTTTCGAGCTGGCGACCTACTCAGAGTTTTTGGCCTTCTGTTTGACCGGCATCTTGTCTAGACCGCAAAGTATTTTGCGTCGTATTTGTCTCCAATGCCATCTTCCCAAAGCGGCCTATTTTGCTAGCTACCCGAGTACTGCACTATCCACTTAGCTGTTCGTTCAGCCATCTACGGTGATTACTGGAACACACCATCGTCAGTCTAGGGTGCGCACTATAGACTAACAAAATGTGCGCGCACTCTAGACTGACATGAGTGGAAAGACAGGGGGGCTCTTAATGTTGGAGGCGACGATTGAGAACACGAAAGGGATCATTTCTCGTGATTGAGACAAACCGCCGTCGCGACAGCAATCGGCTGCTTTCAACATTTGAGTGAGGCCTCTCCTGCCTTCTTAAGTAGTAGCAGACTACAGTGCTGTCAGAAAACGTAGCCTGTCCAAGATACCAGTCATTCGGCTGTTAACGCACTCAGTCGTCCATGATTGCGTCTGAGCCTGACAAGCAATAACACTACAATCAACATTAAAACATTCACATGGTAGTTGACAAGGGTAAATCTTTCTTCAAAAGGCTTCCAAGGCCTATAGAAGGTTTGCGCATCCGTCACAAAACTTGCTATGTTAGTGCACTGTACGGTAGTATGCATTGTTTGTGACGACTAGTTAATGTCATCGTTACATCAGTTGTAGGTTCTCTTGTTTTTCACACATAGAAGCCAATATCATAGAGGCTGCATCATTATCATATTGAAGCAGATTAGCCGCAATGCGATCATACTGCCTTCACCGTCATCCAAGACCCCATGATGGCAAACAAGAACATTATGAAGCTCTGTCCATGGCATCATGTGCAAGCTATCTGTAGTTGGACGAGGGAAAAGAAAAACTTGTGTACAGAGACCTAAACCCCAGCTGTTTGTATTGTCAAGCAATGCATATTGCAGCAATGGTGAGATTGTGGGTGCTTCAGGTTCAGATGGTAGTACTTTCCAGTAGCATAGCCAAGAAAGTGGTTCAACTCCTCCCCCCCCCCCCCCCTGGCTACACAACAAAATAAGGTAACCCATCGCAAACCTTGAATTAGGGTTCTTATATTATGAACAACACTTTGATTTATTTACATGCATACATAACGGAGCTCTTTTTTTGATAGCTTGTCTATATCAACACCATTTCTTCTCTGTAACTGGTTCAACAGTGATGGTAGATGGTAATGACCCATTTGCTTCTCATAGTTTGTGCGACATCGTGCCACTTGCCACTCCTCTAAGTTTTGGGTGTTGTGTGCTACATTTGTTTTCAGGTTGGCTAAGTTTTGTAAGGCATTGTCTTGGTCTTTTGTGAATTGCTTATAATAACGATAAATCCTATATTCATATAGTGATTGAACTCGAACAAAACGCAATTTGGCAAACAATTCAGCTGTATGTGACAAATAGGGCACCTTGCAAGTTAGTCTAATATTCGTTTTTGTAATAGAAATAATTTCATGATATTTGCATAAGTGGTTGTGCCCCACAAGGGAGGTATACATTTACTCTGCTTCCGTCCAGGTTTCCACAAGGTCGCTTTTTCCCAGTATCTTACTCTGGGTGAAAGGTCTCGCGATTGTGATTGTGCTCCTGGAGAAGGCTGGTAGATTCTAACGTAAATGAACGCGAAGATGCTGATGCCAGCAGTGAAGCTCCAGCGACTCGCATCAGAATGCCCGAAACAGACAACCGACACAGTACAGCGTCAGTAAACTCGTGTTGCATGCGCTGGCAGTTCTCGTCCGAGTTCACCGCATTCTGAGAAATTGATTATGGTGCACTATGCTCTGAAGAAGACAAGAATATATTCCTTCTCGAGATTTTGTGTGGTACGAGGCTGCTTCTGTTCCCGCCGGTGTAAGTGCTGCAAACATGAATGCACGTGTCCTAGTTAGAACAGTGGCATATGTGCTGCACGGTGAAATGTTCTGTACAGTTCTGAATCTGTTGGCCTAAAGGGAAGTGACGAGCTGCACGCTTGCAACAACAGAAGACGCCTTGCCACAACGCTATCGTTTCAGGTGGCACAGTGACGAAAGACACGATAAAAAAAATAAGTAAAACGAGAACATCGCACGTTTTTGCGCGTATTGAAGTTTCTAGCGCAAACAACCCAGCGAGGAAGACATTTCCATGTGTGTAGCTATATAGTCTCATGATTCATACAAGGTACTTTTCGTTTGAGACCAACTGACCATTTCTCAATAACGATTACTTTGCCCTGGCAGGCTGCATAATAAAGCCACTACTTTTTTTTTGCATAATACAACCTCTACGATAGGAAATCCTCAACGCTATCGAAAGTCCACAGTGCAGCTGTAATGTGAACCAAGGTTGCCAGAAAATCTGCCTAATAATAACGCGTGCGAAATCGTGCTACTAACGTGCCGCATAATTTACAATAAAAAAACTTATTGTATATTGCAAGCATGCTTGATGCGTGCAGTAAAGTAAAAAAAAATGTTGACTAAAACCTATCACTGCGCCAAGGCTGCTTGACATTAGAGCTAACATAAAATGATTCTCATATACATCTCACAAACACGACAGTTAGAAATTATCTGCCGCAAAGTAAGTAAAAACGGATGTATTTATGAATGTACAAAAACAATGCGTATACCCTCTCATTCTTCGTTGTAAGCAGAGCCATCCTTGACTTGCGAAACGCACTTCACCATGACGAGGACAATGCCGTTTACGTTTAACAGAGATAACATTAACAATGTCTTCTCCGATTAGGCGGATCGTCGCAATTATACGTTTTTGAAGACTTGTCCATTCAACGATGTGACGAAAGGCCGTGCTCCTAAACGGTCACTCTACCTATCGTTATACACTCGCCGCTGTGGTCTAATGGCTAAGGTACTCGGCCGCTTAACCTGGGGGTCGTTAGATCGAATCCCAGCTGCTGCGGCTGCATTTTCGTTGGAGGCGAAAGGAAAATGCTGTAAGGCCCCGTGTGCTCAGATTTGGGTGCGCGTTGAAGAACCCCAGATGGTCAAAATTTCCGGAGCCCTCCACTTCGACGCCTCTCTTAATCATATAGTGATTTTGGGGCGTTAAACCCCACATATCAATCACTCGATTACCTGTCGTTCACTGTATTTTACTGTGGTACTTTATTTTACTTACTCTCTTCAAAAGCATACACATGGAGAGTCTCATGACCTTGATATGCATGTACACTATCTCCTCGAAACTACCGCTGATAGTCACGTCACAGAGGAAAGCTGATGCTTGTGTGTCCCACTATGGAAGCAAAAGGCAGGCGGCGACTGTGCAGAAGAATGTTGCATGCTGCATCACAGCTAGGAGCTTGCTGTTCGCCTTGAAAAGGCGACATCAAAGGCGCGGAAGCGCCATTTTGGAGGCTTCCTCGCCCCTGCGAAGCTGATAGGCGGCCATGTTGAGCACTGCAATGGAGCTAGGACCAACGCCTCTTAGAAAAACTATGCCTGGATCGTCGCTCTCTTTTCAATTGAAGCTACCTGCCAGCACAAAATCTCCGAGGCCATGCCTCCTGCCACGCCCTCCTGCCACGCGTTGGGACCGTCCGTTACGTAGGACCGCTCGCCTCCATACAGCTCAGTCACGTGACATTACCGTACCGCTCTATCACGTGACATCACATCTGCTTGGAGGCAACAGTGAGAGCATTGCTGTGTTCGCAGTGGGCGGCCGCAACAGGCGTTCACCTTCGAACCGGAGGGGAGGGTAAAATCCGAGGGTAGGGCGGTACGTTCGCTACTCACATTTTAGGTATAACTTTTCTAGGAGGCGTTGCTGGGACGAAGAGGAGCCATCTTGGCCTCCCCCCCCCCCCCCCTGAGACGAAGAAGAAAGGCCGCCTTGTTGGCGTGAACCGGGAACGAATGGGCGCCACGAGTAGGAGGCCCCACAGAAAGTTGCTGCACCCAACATGGAGCAAACTGCTCTAACTGCACGCGTACAAGTTCATCCTCTCGCGCAATCGAGGCGATGAACTTGTACGGGCGCAGGACGCCTGCGTCGTTACAGGCCAGCAGGAGTTTCAGGCCGGTGTGGCCAACGCCTTAAGCAGCAAGGCATTCTGCCGCTCTGTCTTGCGGGCGTCTTCCCCGACAGCATCCAAGTGTGATGCAGGTTTAAGGTTGATTCAATTGTTGCTCGGTAAAAAAGCCTCAGAGCTAAGAAATGACGAAGCCGTTTAAAGTAAGAAAAGAATAAGTAGAAACATTAAGCATAATTAAGAAGGAAAAAAGATAAAGTTGCAATGTACCCACACCGAGTCTAAGCTGACAAACTAAGGCATGCCCTATAAGTTGTCCAGCTATAATATTTGTAAAGATCAGCAGTCACCGGTGGTGTGATGGTGGCGGTGGCTTGAGGCGGCAGATGCTGGCGATGTCTTAGCAGCTGGAGTCAAGCGCTGACCAGTACGACCACGCTTGGCGAAAGACCAGGTAGCCATTGCCCTCGCAAGAACTGCGGCTGCTTACCGACGCTGGCTCATTCCGCGAAGGTGATCACCACCCGGAAGGTTCCGCCCTCCACGGGCGGTTCAGGACCGGAGTCGAGACATGGATTGCTGGGACGGGACCTTGAACAGTCATGGCCG